TCGTTCATCTCGGTTTCCCGCTGTTGCGTTTGCAAGAGTTTTTTGTCTACGCAATTATTATTAACTTGGAGCCGACGAGCGTGGGGAAAAGGAAAGAGGAGAAAGAGAGAGAGAGAGAGAGAGGGCGAAAGAGAGCGAGGGAATTGTGGCCGCGGGTGAATGCGCGTTGCGTTGTATACATCTCGCCGTGTTTCCGTGCTTCGCGTAATTACCGTAGAGCGAAAGCTTAATCATTGCCGACTCGCCGCGCGGCAAATTACCAACCGCCTCGCGAAAGGATCCCGCATTCGCGCGCGATAGCTTCGAGAGCAACAACGAGACGAAGACAAGGAGACATAGAAGGAGAGAGAGAGAGAGAGTTACCCTCCTCCTCTTTATAATATTTTTTCCCCCGTTACGGGGAATTATTAATCGGGAATTTGCGCGGAGGAAGGGAGGAAGGGAGCGGAGAAATGGTCTCGGGGATTCGAAACGAAGGCGAAGGCGTCCTTGTGGCAGGCAGAGGTTGGAAAGTTGCGGTTAGACACGCGAAGACGCGATCCCATCGATCCGTCCCGCCTAGCCTCTATCCAAGCTCACCCTGGATGGAAATTACGACGTACGCGTCATTTATGGAACTTTGAAAACTCTCTTTCCCTCTCTCTGTCGACCTCGACCTGTCGCGTGCAGATCCGCGTCGCTTCTCACACTTCTCGCACAATCGGATCCACCAAGTCGTCGCTTTCGTGTCGCGTTCCCACATCGACTACGTCGTCTCGAGATCGATCGATTTCCGTCCTTTCTCCCCGTATGATGGATCGAGGTCTCTTCCGCCAAGGTAACAACCTTCGTTTCTTCTTCCCTCCTCTATCCTCGACTCGGCCCATTCGTATTTCGCCTTTCGACCGCGAGATCTCTTAAAGTCGAGGGGGGGGGGAAGGGAGAATCCAGGGAGAGGGTTAACCTCGTGTGCACACGCGTGTGCATCGTGTGCAAGGATGGTCGCAGGAGAATAATCGATAAGGCGCAACGAAAGCTCGAACTTGTTCGCTCTTACGAAACCGCGATACGTACGGAATCGTTGTAATTCCTTATATCTTGAGTCCCTTGTACATCGAACATGAGTTTGAGAAGGTATTTCGGGTCAGCTTTGTACACGGGATAACACGTGCACGGGTTGTGTGGGTGAGAGGGAGAGAGAGGGTGATTGGGTGGCAAAGCAAAGGGTATATCGGTCGGTCGTTTCGCGCGGCTTTTCCACTAAGAGTCTCCACCACTGCGCCGAAACCCAAGATTCGAGTAGTCCGAGCGTGTCGCGCGTCAATTGAATCGTTGGTAAAACGTGATCGGAAACTCGTAAAGCTCCGCTATCTCCTTTTTTCCCCTCCTTCCTTCCTTCCTTCCTTCCTTCCTCCCTCTAATCGTGTCCTGTCCCGTGTTTAAATCGTAATTTTTTCGGCAGGAAAGTTCCATCTATCTACTCCATTGTGGTATTTACGGGAGCCGATCGGGACGTGTTCGAGCGCTGCATTCGCGTCGCGTCCATTTCCGCTATTTTCATTCGATATCGCGAGGGAGAGAGTAGCGTATTGTCCGAAACTTTTCAGTCAACGCCAACGCTGAAGGATCGCCACCCGTCGCGACGTGAGGAGCGACGAGCGTATTTAAAAAGAGGGAGGGGGCGTAGCTCGTCGTCGAGAAACGGACCGGTTTGAATCGGTTGGGCGATTTCAACGAGCCGAAACAAAAAATGGCGCCGCGATATCGGTTAACAAGACGAGCGCGTGGAAACTTGGCGTGGGATTAACCATTATTATGCGAAAGTTCCTCTTTTTTTTTTTCTTCCTCCCCGCCCTTCTTCTCTCTCCGCTACCCGGAAAAAAATGTTCGAAAATTCGACGCGTCGCACGAAAAGTAACGCCAGCCGACTGGTCGGTCGGTCGCGTTTCCAATCCCGAATGAAATGAAACGCCGTGAAATATTCATCGCGCGAAACGCAGTTACGATTTCGCGGGTAGGAGATTTCGCGAGAAACGTCGCGGATACGAGTTTACAACGAGGGTCGACAACGTTCTCCCCTCCTGGGAACGGGGAGATAGAAGAACCAAAAAAAAAAGAAAGAAGAAAAAAATAATCGACGACGAGAGAAACGTAATTCCCTTTTCTCTCTCGGTTTATCCCGAGATTGTTGCTGGAATTTCGTAATTTGTCCCGGGGATCGTCCATCGGCCCCCTCCCTCGTGATCTTGCCGGTCGCATCGCCGATTAAAATTCAAGCTGGGAGGAAGAGAGAGAGAGAGAGGGAGGAGGTAGGGGAGGGAAGATCGTGCACGGGAAGCGAGCGAACGGAATCGATAACCGGAGGAGGATCTTGGAGGAACGACGTACTCGGGTAACAACGCGTACAACCGAAAGACGGTAAACAGTGACGTTGTTACGCGTTACTTCCAAGCTGTACGGAATATACTACGCCTCGGCGAGCTCCGGTAATGACGTTGAACCACGACAACGACGTGCCCCTGCAAACCAAACCGGCCTCCTCTCTCTCTCTCTCTCTCTCTCTCTCTGCCTCTATCTTCTTTTCCACCGTCTCGATTTCGATTCGAATCGAATTTTTGCCCAACTCGTTCGTTCGCGTTCTCGACCGGGAATCTCGTCCGTTTCGAAAAATTAATCGAAGGGAGGGGATACGCGAGGTAAGTTTGATTCGTCATAATTGTCCCGTCGCGGCGGCAATCCATTTTAATCGGGGCGAGAGGAGGGGGAATCGATAACCTTTATTTTAACGACTCCACCGCGACGGTATACATCGGTGGATGATCCTTGGTGGATGGATGGATGGATGGATGGATGGATGGATGGATGG